TTAAGTATAATGTATTTTATTGTAATTATTTTAAAAAACTTAAAAATAGTTTAATCCAAAAGTTAATTTTTATGTTCAGTTAGTTATTTTAATTGATGAGATATTTATCTAAACCATTTGCATTACATTTAAATAAGGAAAAAGTTCAAAAAATTAAATAAATTGTTCCATTTTGAATTATTAAGTTTCTTGAACTGGTTACTTAAATTATTTTAACCTTTTTAAAATTGTATAATTTAAAAATTATTTTTATAAAATGACTTGAAAAATGTAATCACTTTTRCATAAAGTAGTATTTTAAATTTCTTGAGTTATTATAATATTTTTAAAATGATGTAATTAAAAGATTGTGAAGAAAATAAAATAAAAAAGTTAAATTCGTGCAACTCACCGAGTCATAGTTATTCAAAAAAAAAAATCATCTTTATATATATTTTTAATAAATAAATTATCAAACTTTTAAAAATGTTATCTTTTTAATAAATAATTATTAAAAAATTATGTTTTTAAAGAATCGTTTTTGAAAAAATATATATATTTTTCTTAAAAATAATTATTAAAAAAAGATACTGTTCTTTAAAAAAATATATTAAAAAGGAAAATAAAACATATAATATTTTTTATAGAAATTATGAGAAAAAATAATATTTTTTAGTAATAATATAAATTTTAGAGGGTAATAAATAATATTTATTATAATAATAATATATTTATAATTAAATAAACTAAGTAAAATGAAATTAGTATAAAAAAAAGACAAGAAAAAGACAAAAACAAAAAAAGAAACAAAAAGAATATGATTATATAGAGGAATAGGGGTGACATTAGCAAATGATAGGGGTGCCATTAGCCTCTCCCAAATATAAAGGTGCAATTAGCCTTTCTCATGACATTGAAGTTTTTTTTTTTTATTGAAGATGATATTTATTATTTTTAAAGATAAGAAAATATAAAGTGAAAATAATTTTAAACATTTTGATCAAATAAATTATTGTTGAACAAGATGAAGATTATCAAGATTAATTTAATAAATTAATTAACAAGTACAAATATGTTAATTCGTTTACCTGCCTAGACACGATGGTTTTTATTAATACTTTTACTGTATTATTTTTCTAATTGAGAATCTTACCCAATAAGTTAGAATTTGGACTCAACAATTTTAGATTATCCAGTGTTAGGGTTAAATGGTTCATTTAACCAAACAAGAATACTTTATCTGCTTCAGTTTTCGGTTAATTCTCTTCTAATTCAGTTAAATCAAATAACACATTCTACTTTATTTTAATAAAAATAAACCGATGCAAATTATACTATTATCATTTTACATGTTTTATTGCTACAAAAAGCGTACTCGCACAATGCAAGGAGATAAATCTCGATTTTAATGTTTAGTTTTTATTCTTTGTCTCTATCGATATAATACGATTTTATGTGGTTTTAAGAAAACAGTAATGTTTTTATTTTTGAATGAAATATAAATTTGAAGATAACATAAAATTTGAAAAGAAAATAGATCGATATTAGTATCAAATTAACTATTTAATAGTTCTTGTTTTTTTTTTATGTAACTTCTTTAGCTCAAATTTTGTTATAATTTAATTTAGATTTAATAACAAAGTAATTTACTTTTGGTTTAATAATATAATTTTTTATAAAAATAATAATTAAACATTCTGTTAGAACTCAATAATTATCTTAATTATGTTATAGATTTTTTATATTTAAAATGAATGTTTATCCTATATTTAATTATGTTTATCTACAGTTAGTTATACGAATTTAAAAATGAAGCTTTACTAAGTTATACTAACGTAAAATTACTTGTAATCTTAAATTTTAAGTAATATACATCAATAAACAGTACTTCATGCGTAATGCGTAAAAGATAATTTTTAAGAGTTTTTGTCAAATGTTTTATAATATAGTATAGATATAAGATATACAATACATCGCATAAATAAATGTCTTTCGGTAAATATTGGTTATTTGTAAATGATGTTTTTTAGTTAATTGTTGAGTATGAATGTACAATACAATACACACTGAAAGCAATGGAAATTGAATTTGGGAAAATTATCGAACCAAAAATAAAAATCTCATTCGGTTTAACCGCTTACCAAACCGAATTACCTGATACCGAGTAAGCCAAATCTTATTTGGTTTGGTTATCGATTTAGTTTTAAAAAGGTTAAAAACCGAAAATGATAAACCGAAAAGCAATTTAACCGACCGAATAATACCTAATGGTTATTGTGTAAAAGACACTTATTTTATGTTATTCTGATGATTGAGAATTTTATCCGATAAACACTTACCTAGTTTGTGTTGGTAAACGATCCCTTATACCATATGCCTACATGATACATACCTATGTGTTTTTAGCAGCATAACCAAACGAAATCAAACAAAACCAAACGAACCCAATATATCATGTAGATTGACCTCTGCCCGAAAGGGTAGAGCGACTTGTTTCGATGAAACACTGGCGAAATCATTACCCAAAATTTTCGGGATTTGACGACAAGGAATAATGTTCATAGAACCCTCTTCGTCAACAATGGAACTCTTCTCGTCGCAAATTTTAATCGAGGCCCCAAACACGTACCGAGACAAACTCGAACCCAATCCTTTAGATTCATTCTCATGTGTAATGCAAACTTCATATAACAATAGATGTGCATATGTATAGAAACAAATTGTACACTCTTTGTGGTTCTTTCTTATAAGGTAAAACAGTGTGAATCTTATACCGCGGACACTCGTCTTTGTCCTACCGACTTCCGCACTTTGAAATGGTTAACGATCGCTTTCCGTTTCATTAGGAAACAAAGAAAAGCAATAATTAAGACTAAAGTTAGAAATACCTGCAGATGGGGCTTGGATACAAGTTTGAATATTTTCAGACTGCTCCTGTTGCTGCAGTGATTTGGAAGAAAACTGCTCGAGAGAGAGATGTCAGGTTCGAGTATGAAATCCACCGTCATTGGTTCATCGCCCATTACAATGGTTGTGGTCCGTTTTTTGTAACCGGGCATCATTGCCATAACTGCATTTCAGGACGGTTGAGGTCCGGTTAGGATCTTTTTATTTTGAAGTATATGATACTTATATACAGGAAATACTCACGCACACACCTCAGAAAAAGGTGAGGTTTGAACCTGAGGGTGAGCTCTATAGGTAACCCAAGTACCCTTGGGCTAATGACCCCTTGGTTTAGAACTTCACAGTCAAAGAACGTTAAATACGAAAAAAGGGAAACAAATTATTGGTTTGGAAACTTTAAGATCGGGTGAAACAAGTTTCAGCCATTATGGTTCGGGTTCAAGTCACCTTTGGCTATCGGCTTGCTTTAAGGTGAGAAAGGAATATTTCGACTTCTTAAAATAACATTATGTTATGGTTTGCATTAAGAACTGTCAAATTTTTGGTTGAAAAGTAGTAGCAACAGGTAAAAGGTAATCAGTAAGCTTCTAAGGGGGAGCTTTATGCAGAAAAGTCAAGTTTTTCACAAACCTGATTCTCGTGATTAAAGAACACGCTCTTTCCATCTACAAAAAAACCCTCCCAAACAAAAACCTTCCCAATCTAGACAGATTAATCCACACAGACATCTTTACCTATACGGGTTTGGATAGAAAACCAACCAAACAGCCCCTAAGACAACTACACATCCACCGGTCTATCTTAGGACACTCGTAATCGGCATATTAACCTTACCCCCACCCTCTATCTCTCGAGCTCCCTTCCTCCCATATATGCTAACTACAAGTTTCCACCCCTAGTCTACTACCTTAACCATACATGTCCAAGAACTCCATGTCCCTCCTCAGTTGCTCATCCCACGTCCTTTTCTACCTACTCCTCCATGCCCCTCGACCATCACATGTTCTTCCCTATTCACCATCCAAACCACCACAATCTTCCCACTCTACACCTATTGATGACAGCTGCAACTCCCAACTCCTCCCGAAAAACGTCGTCAAGTATCCTGTCAAACATAGTCCGACCACATGTCAATCTAAGCATACTCATTTCAATAACTTCCAACTTTTTCGCATAAGCCTTCTTTTGTCGCCGAACACTCTTACCGATACAACATAGTGGTTTGATGGCTCCCTTGTAGAATTTGCCATTTCTTGTTTGTGTCGTTCTATCAAGGAAAATTACTTTTGGCAACTAAAGTTTCTTATTTGGTTATTCAACTTCATGTTCCAAACCCCTCTAGCCAGCCGGTCCTATTTCCTAGTCAAAACAAGCATTTCTGAGACATTAACCCTGATTAAGCATTAACATGATATCATTTTAATGTGGTAAATCCATAGAGCAGGCAAAATGTGATGGGTGCATGATGTAAAATGGCCAAATATAACAATTCGACATTACAGGGCCCCAGACAATTCATGGGCCAAAAACAATGTTCTCCAATTCATATAACTTTGTGGTCATCGATTCTTTCTCTACAACAATTTTGATGAAATTTGAGGTCCAAAAACGGGCCTATTTGACTCCTAAATTCAAGTGGACCCTAGTTCTGGAATGGAGAAGAACTTCTATGGTCAAGTAGCAGCTAGGAACCACAACTTATAGATAATTACTTTGTTGTTTATTTAATTCTAAACAAAAATTTACATTGGACTCAATTCAGTCAAATATTTCTCACCAAGAATCTACGATATCCCCATAGCTATGCAAGGAACAAACTAAATTGGGTCCATGATTCTATCAACATCATGTAAACCAAGAACTTCTACTAGATAACCTACAAACCTTTTAAACTTGATCAATTCAATAGAAGGCTTCCGAGAGGCAAATACAGGAACATTGTATAAACATTTACATACGAACCAAAATTTTACACGGATTCAACGTTGCCTCAAATGCAAGATTGCAATGTCAACTTATAGGATTATTTTGAAAATATCTACGTATGACCCAAAACTTTCACTTTCCCAGATAGCATAATAAGGAATTTTAAACAATATCAAGAGGAGAATAACTTATCCATAAAGAGGAGAGGTACAATTGATAATATATGTATATATAATATATACATATATATATAGGTGAAGTCACTGAAGGTACCTTCATATTGTTGTCCAGGGACCAGTAATCGATGATAATCAGCTAATTTTTCACTCGCTTTAATCTGTAGATCACCGTAGTATCAAGATGTTAAATAATGCCAGAATGTCATCAAAGAACAAACAAACAATAGTTTATTACAATTCTACCAGAAAAAATCTCATAAAAAGCTGAGCAAGAATATGATAAAATTATCAGCTCTGATTGTGATTGCTCAGCGTTTCATAGCTAAGATCATAGGTGTTATTTGTTATCTGAAAGAGATGCACATATGTGTATGAGGACTTGCACCAGCAGAAGTGCAAGACCGTCGTCTTCATTTTCTCTCTTAATCAACATTGCAAGAAATTCATTGCATATTTTTTCATAGATATATTATAGCAAGAGATTATGATTCAACATACCGTGTAATTTATACCCTTTATTGCAATATTTGCAGGCAAAGGCTCTCCACAATCTGATGAAAAGATCCTTCCATGTACTCCTGACTACACAATAATGAAATAAGTATAAGTGACTGCAAGCACCATAGTGAAGACAATATATTAAGATATAATCACTGTGAAACCAAAAGCTGGAGCAGAAGCCATACTTTATAAGGAGCTGACAATAAAAATAAATCATAAGGTAAACATGTAATTACGGACAAGTGATTCAGTAGTCCATCCATCTATTATAAAAGGAGTCTAAGGGCTGTTTGGTTGATTTTCATTAAGTCTTGTATAGATAAAGCTGTATGTGTGAATTAATCCTTCTGTACCGATTGGGAAGGTTTTTGTTTGGGAGGGTTTTTTCATAGATGAAAGGAGCATGATTTTTAATTGGGAGGGACAGGTTCGGAAAAAACTTGGCTTTCTGTATAAAGCTCCCCCCTAGAAGCTTACCGAATAAGCCACTTTCTATATCATTAACCACTACCAAACAGTTATGTATAGCTGACCGAATAAGCTGTGAGTCCCATTAAGCTCATTAAGCTGCTGACAAACAGGCCCTAAGATTCATCTCACTTGCCACTAATTGCAATTATTTTAGTGAACTGCATTGTGTAAGCTATTTGTCTTAAGCAGTTGCATTAGCAATATTTAATGGACACATGTGTAATGTCCAACCCAATTTCTGTCTAATAAGCTATATTGTGTCATAATCTTATTTATAAGCAGAGTACTAGAGTTGGAAAAAGAACTCGACGAATTACCTTCACAACGCTTGCAACAAGATCAAGCATGCTCATTTTGTTGTATTGCCATATCATGCGAAGCTGCATATTGTCAATAAAATGCAAATGTAAGACCCTAGAAGATTAATTCAAAAAGTTCTTTAAAGGATAAGTAAAGGAAGTTGATTATAGCAAAAGATCAAATAAATCAACAAACGTATATCACTGTTTTCACACAGTAAAAATTGAATCAGTAATTACTCTCAGTTACAATGAAACCTAAGTTACACGAACCAGAAACTATTATCATCTCTGGCAAAGTCATGAAGGGTTTATCCTATTTGACCCACAGATACTGATCTGGTCAGTGGTGATACAAAAAGGAGTTTAACCTTTGTCTTTACACTGCTCCTAGAAGGGGAGACATTCCTGAACATATATCAAATCATGCAAGAATAGATAACCTAGAGGGAGGTTCAGGGGAAAACCCTCAAAAAATGAATAACTAAGGAACACCCCGGTAACCATTCATCTGGACGGTATGCACATGTGCATACAAGTAATTGATGTTATTATGCAAGTGTGCATACCGGACATATTGCTTACAAATTACCGTCCAAATGAACAGTTACAAGGGTGTTCCTCAGTTTCTCATTTTTTTGCGGTTATCCCCTGAACCTGACCCAGATAACCTATATGCCCAATCATCAGTCAGTAATTTAATGGATGAACCTTACCTCATTAGCAGGAGGCCATTTGTTGTCGCTGATCTCCAAGGTCAGTTCAAAACAGCCACCATAAATGTAGTTCCAGTCTTGCATGCCGCCATATATGGGATACCTGCAGCAGAATGAAATTGAAAAGAAAATAAAAGATAACCAGAATCCAAATCTTGGTTTTGCACATTTTACGTCAGAAAATCCAATTGAAGTACAGTCAAATGGCACTTCGAATTTTTAAAGCTTCAAGTTCAGACAAAGAGAAGAGCTTTCAGAAAACAACTGTATTTATTAAAATAGCATACCAGTGAGCCCCATTGGTTATTCCTTCTTCAAATTCTTTGCTACGAGACATGTTATGGTGAGAGTGGCTATACAACTTTGCCATATATCTGAACGCTTCATCATCAGGACAAGCATAGTAACTTTTGCTGAAATAGTTAGAAGAAAGCAATGGTAACACACTATAACAGTTTCCCATTAAAAGAAACGACAAATCCTGAAATTATGTCATAACACATCATTTACTGCCGTAAAAAGACGCAGACATATTGATCTACCCTTCATCTGAAAAGTCAAAATTCCATCAAAAAACTCTATAAACATTAATCGACTCAGAAAAGTCACCTTTTATCCTCGGTCCCATCCCATGGATAATTTGCAACAAGTGCTCCCTGAGGAAAATGGAAATACAGTTTAAAAGATTTGTAACCAGAGCTGACAGAAAGCATTAAACTTCAAATTTTTGAATTATTTATTTAGGATATGGAGTTTAGCTCTATGAGACACGGTGGATCATTCAAGTTGGAGAAAATTTGATCAGATCGGATGGCCAATAAATTATATGACAGGGAAGCTAATATAAAAGTAAAACCAAAAACCAAAGCAAATGTACCCAGAAAATCCCAGTAGGGTTTTACACACACACACACACACACATATATATATATATATATATATATATATATATATATATGTGTGTGTGTGCATGTAGAAATAATCAAATGAGAACCATAAAAATGTTGATGACCGTGAGAACCAGTAACCATGTGTTGTTTCACATTGTGAAACCGTGCATATGAATAGTAATGAATATTATTTATCGTAAATATCTGTCACAACATTCAAAATGAATATTTATCACGTTGTTCATCATGAATAATACACAACATAGGTGGTTCCTGAGTTTCCAAAATGTTTAAGGTTTTTAAATAAACCTGCCCTTATGTATATAACATATATATACAGACAGCTACTAAAGCTTCTTTCTCATTTTAATATATGTGTATATATACGGACAGTTGTGAGTTTCTCTATTAATATATATATGGGCACAAAGTTTAGTAGAGGAAAAGTGTCGGGCACAGTTTCGATGTTCCATAAATAAGAGCTCGAGAATTATGAAGACGATGAATCAAATAACTCAAAAAAAGGGTGAAGGGCGCAATACGAAAATATCACCGCTATATCGTCTGTCGGTGCGATTGCTAAATCTGCACAATTTCCCCTTCATGTACGGTTACATGATGTAATGGAGGAGCCGACTCCTATTAGGCCCTTATACATGTTGCTACGATGGTAGCTCCCGGAATTTTTCTTGTAGCTGAACTTATGCCTCCAAAAGCAAGCATAATGCTTGAATTGATGTCGCTGTTAGCGACATAGCTAATCTCCATTGTGATTCTACTGAGGGCCGCGAACCACAATACCACCATTATAGCGGTGCGGATAACAATAAAGATTAGTCGTTAAAGACCAAATATGTATGGTGCAATTTAAGCACCAAGTGAATTGATGAAGGGGTGGAAGTCGACATGGGGGCAAAAGGTACCATGAAAGGAAAAGTTTAAGTATCTAGGCTCTATGATTCAAAAGAAGGGAGAGGTCGAGGATGATATAACCCATCGGATAAGGACAGGGTGGCTAAACTGGAGAGCTACCACGGGGGTGATGTATGACAAGAAGGTCCCACTCAAACTGAAGGGAAAATTTTACATGGTAGCCATCAAAACAACTATGTTGTATGGATTGGAGTTTTCAGCGATGAGGAAGACCCTTAATACCCAAAGAAAATTCTAGTATAAAGGTGCTATATTATAAAAGATTGAAGAAGGCTTGATAGTGTAGATATACAAAAGTGAAGACCATGATCTACAAGAGAGGATAAAAGAAAAATTAATCAGATCAAACAAAATATATCTTCTCTAGATAACATGGCTAAATTATAGCCAATTTGTCTTAGACTCCTCAAGTTGATGCATTGATGTCAAGTTGAGAAGTCTGGAATGGTTTAGTCAAGATACTGCACAAGCTCATTTGCAATCATGACGTACAAGTATAGAAGGCAGATCGTATGTAGTTAATGAGGTCATGAACGAGATGATAAACTACTTCTACGTGTTTGATTCTTTGATGAACCGAACCGAACCAAACCAAACCAAACCAAGTATACCCCACATATCCCACCCCGGAAGTAGGGTCTAGGTGTAGGATGTGCATAGATCTTTCCCCTAACCCGAGAGGTAGGCCACTTCTATGAAGAGTCCTAACTTGTGAAAAAGTTTTAGTAAGTCTTGAATTTTTGAAGATCTTGAAAAGCAAATGAGGGGCTTAATGTAGTGGTATTTTAAACCAAAGTGTGCAAACAGACTATCAAGAAGACGAAGGGTTGAAAAACAGATTAGAAAAACTGACGTTGAAAAATGCATCATAAACAAGACAATTTAAAAAAAAAGTGCAACCTCTATCTATCAATGCTGCCAACCCAAAATTCGGCTCCATAGCCTCCCCCCAACTGACCCTCTACCTCTCCATCTCCTTTTCCCCACCCCTATAGATAATCTGCAACCCTACCCCCTGCATCTCCAAGCACCCCTATCAGAGGTCACTTTATGTGTCGAGGCCAAATTGGGAAATTTAGAATTATGGTAATTTGTTTTTAATGGTCAAACGGATATTTTTTAATAAATATGCCAAGTCAATGAGAACAACTAATAGAAAAGAGTAATAAGATGATGAAATCCCAAAAGTGATAACAAAGAGGTAAGCTAAAGAAAAACAAAGAATGATAGTGATCATGGATCAATTGTAAGCTACACAACATCAAAGAGAAAGATGAAAGACAGCTGATAGTGTTGTATTAGCACCAGGGGTGGGACGCACATGGCAAGAAGCAAATGCCAAAGTGATTGCATATCCTCCACAATGAAAAACACTGAAAAGGTGTAGTAACGGAATCATGAGATGTTGCATGAACACATGGGAGACAAGGAGATGGCTAAGATTCCGACCCCTCTTTTGGATGACTAGAGCAGGTCCATTTTGAATGGCCAAACTCCTAACAGTTGTGGCACTTATTCTTCTTATTAGATCCTCCTTTCAGAATACTGTGTATGGTTCCAGAAGCAGCCAAGTTGGATGAATCAATAGTAAGACCTAGAGAAGCTGAAGTTAAGGGATACATCATGGGAGAAGATGATAGGTTGTTGAGGGTGAAGAGATGGTTGAATGTCTCCAAAGTACAGTTCAAGAGGTGTAATACTTGGAGTACCTAGGATCACTACTAATGGGATTATGAGAACAAACTTTGTGGTTCATGAAAAAAGCTTCATAAATTAAAAAAAAAGTACTATGTCGTTCACATCCAGAACATGCATGTGACATAGAATAGGCATGTGACACAGGTTTTAGTAAAGAACCAAAAGCGGATGGTGGTGCCATTATTTCTCCATTGTGCAAGAGTTCATAGCAAAGATAACATCCAGTTCCACCACCTTCGGAAAAGCAATACAAATGAGACTATCATCCATCTGTTAGGACAAACGTTACACACGCAATACGCACAACCCAAAAAAAAGAGAAGAACACAAGAATTTACGTGGTTCACACGATCAGATTGATCGTGCTAGTCCACGGGGGCAACTAGGGTTTTCTTTATTTAGGTGCTACAACGTTTACAAGTACAATGAGATTAATATATATAGACAAACATAATTAGGGTTATCTCCTAATCAAGGAAACTAGGGTAGAGACTAGGGCCGGCTCCTTTTGGGCTAGG